GTCTGTTCCCCTATTTCAGTGGGATTGTATTCGTCTTCTCTCCATTGATTATGATGTTGGCTGTTGTTTTTTCATAGATAGCTTGTATTGTCTTGAGGAATTTTCCTTCCGTTCCTTCTTCTCAAGTGTCTTAATTAAACAGGAATTTGTGTTCGATGTTGTTGAATGCTTTTTCCACATCTATCGATATTATCATGTGGTTCTTATAGTTTTTCATGTCAATGTGGTGAATGATTCTAATAGCCTTTCATATTCATACCTGCAACCCTGGTATGAATCCCACTTGGTCATGGTGAATTATTTGTTTTGTTTGATCTGTTTTTTTAAAAAATATTTTACGGTTTTATTTCAGATTGAGGTTTATCTCTGTTGCATTTTGTCATTTGGGTAGCTTTCTTGAATCTCTGCTATATGTTTTTCAGTATATGAAGCCCAGGATGGATGTACCTATAATGACAACAACTAAAATAAGGGTTCCTGGGGGATACAATGAGGGAAGTGGGGAGGTAAGGGGGAGCTGATATCAAGGAGTTCCAGAAAGAAAAAAAAGCTTTTAAATTGATTAGGGTAGCAATTGTACAACATTGTTTGATGTGATTGAACTATGAAATGGTATGATGTCTAGATTAGCTCCTAATAAAATAGTTGGGGGGAAAAAGAGAGAGGTTGACTCAAGACACACACTACACTAATACTACTTCATTAATGAGACAAAGAGATATGGATTCTAACTGAGATTCTAACATTAGGCATAGAGGTTAGGATATACAACATGTATTATGGGGAAGGGAGCCACAACTCAATCCACAGAGTTCTCCTGTGGTGAGGCTGGGTGATACCTCTCGAACCAAGTACCCTTTGACCTTGCACTAACCCTATCTCTTTGCCTAACTCCTTTGCTATCCCTACTCATATCCCAATCTGTTCATGTTCCCATTCCCTTCCCTTTCCATTCAATTATTACTTCATTCCTTGGGATTCAGCTGCACTCTCTGTGTAATTTCTGCAGAATGCAATCCTCTTCTTAGAAAACTCTTGACCTAGTTAAGAGAGAAGCCTGATAATACACAAGACTGCCAGAGTTTGTTACTCCAAATATGTCAATCTGAATGTCAACAAATGCTCAGAGTATGGAACCAAGAGCAAGTGCACGTTAATGGTGACCTGGATTTACAGTGAAAGTTGCACAGAAGAAGCAGGGTTTGAGCTGGGCACACTAAAGGAGAACAGACATCCCAGACAGAGGAAATTTAAAAATTCCAAAAACGCACTCCAATTGAGTTGATTCCAACTCCTAGCGCCCCTAAGTGACCCTATAGGATAAGAATAGAATGCCCCTGTGGGTTTTCTGGACTGTACAAAAGTCAAAAGCCTCATCTTTTTCCCACACGGTGGCTGGAGAGAGGGGATAAAAGGACAGAAGAATAGAAGTACGGTAGCCTGAGCTAACCCAGGAAGAGGGGAGGGTTCCTTATGGGCACACAGAGATGATCAAGTTGGAAATGAATTCATGGCACCTTGCTGGGCTTTTCTGTAGGGACACGGTAGGAGGAGATGGCATCCCTCCCCTTTTGAAAGCTTTCATTGGTCTCTTGCTCTCTAAGCCGAGCATATTGTAAATGAGGGTTACAGGGACAGTGTTTTAGTTTGGGGGGAGCTTAGGCTGGAGTTATGAGTCTTGTGATCACTGAGTTTTTCTCATTTCTAGGTGTCATTGGTCCTAAGGGGGACACAGGTAATGGTGCTGGGATTGAAGGGCCCCGCGGCTTTCCTGGAAACCCAGGCAGAAAAGGAGAACCTGGCGAAGGTGCCTATGTATATCGCTCAGCTTTCAGTGTGGGGCTGGATGCCCGCGTCACCATCCCCAATGTGCCCATTCGCTTCACCAAGATCTTCTACAATCAGCAAAACCACTATGATGGCTCCACTGGCAAATTCCACTGCAACATTCCTGGGCTGTACTATTTCTCCTACCACATCACCGTCTACCTGAAGGACGTGAAACTCAGCCTGTTCAAGAACGACAAAGCCGTGCTCTTTACCTATGACCAATACCAGGACAAGAATGTGGACCAGGCCTCTGGCTCTGTGCTCCTGCATTTGGCAGTGGGGGACCAAGTATGGCTCCAGGTGTATGGCGATGGAGAGAATAATGGACTCTATGCAGATAACATCAATGACTCGACCTTCACAGGCTTCCTGCTCTACCATGACACTGACGGATCACAGTGACCTCAGGGCTTCCAGTAGGCCACCCAACCCACGCGTCAATCAAAAGACAGCTGGTGGGTTTTCACAGAGATAGGAGATTGCTTTTAAAAGTCTAGTTGGAAGGTTCTGAGCATGGTTTATTCACCAGCACATTCATTTAGCCATTCATTCACTAAGGACCTTTAAAACTCACATAGTAGGTTTTCTGTCTTGAGGAACACATCATCCTTCATCTCAAGGATCTTATTCTATAGGAGCAATAAAAGGATAATAATATTTCATGGGGAATTTCCCCTGCATGACAAGCTAACTGGCCAAAGAGAGTCTTGGGCAGTGTTTATTTTGTGCTCTTCTGCTGTGCACGGCAAGCCTGCGGCGCGGATCTTCTTTTCCTATCGTCCCTGCAGCTGTCGTTCTGAGGCTAAGAGTGTTCGGCGACTGTCTGAGGCCACGCAGGTATTAAGAGACACGGCTAGAAATCAGACTCAGAGTTCATAAGGGCCCAGGTCACTAGAGGGCCGCTGAGTTTGCCTTCAGCAGAGGTTAAGGTTTCTCCTTAGAAGAGCTTCTTCCGAGAAGAGGCTCCTGGAAGTCCCTCTCAGATAGACTTCTCAGCATTCCCTTTCTTCCTCTAGTTTCTCCCCCAGGCGATGTATCCACGTCTCCATAGGTGGGAAGCATCTTCAAGGGCAGCTGGAGAGGAAGCGTCTCTGCGGTGTTACCTGTACTGCACCTTTCCCTCCGCACTGTGCCTTGTACGTCACTCCATTTCCTCCTAAGGAGTCCTTGGCGTTGAGACTTTTCTAATTTAAACCTGGAAACAACTGCTGTGCGAGGACTGTTTTTTCACCTCTAAATCCCCCTTTAAGTTCATTATATAGATTTGGTGAACAGGAATCGCTTGAATCTGACATTGACCCAGAATTAACACTCCCCTGACCCCTTTCAGTGTTTCTCTCTAACCAACCCTTATTCACAGAAATACTTTCATTTGAGTCACTGCCTGGCTTTAGAGATGCCAAATCTGGCCAGCTAACATCTTTTCCATTGCGGTGAGGGTTTATTGTACCTTTCAGCATATTTAACAAACGTCCACCTTTGAGGTAACACCCTGAAATGCAAGCCTCACAAGGCATTCGGAAGCCATCGTGTCCTGTGTCGCAGCAGGAGCACGAGGAAGATGTGTGCCCTGGGAATTGGTCCATGTTCTTTAAGAATTACGAGTGCTATTCTTGTAGGACAGTGGCTCACATGATATGCTTCAGTTTTAGTTAAACCAGAGTTTACTGGAATTCTGGATAAATATAGAAATGGAAAGGCTATTATCTGTTTACAGTTAAATTTGGGATGATCCTCTTTTCTATGCAAATTGCTGTTCATTAAGCGACGATTGATTCTGCCTCTAAAGCTTTGTCTTTTAAAATGCTTGCATATCACGATTTTGTACAAATAAAGATAATATCTAAGGTTAAAAGGAAAACCTTTATTTCATGTGGATGTTGTTTCAAAACTTTAAAACAATTGGTTTTATCCTGCTGTTTTTATTGAGCGTGTGCACAGTAAAACACACACATGTACAACTCAGTGACGTTGATGGCTTTCTTCAAGTTGTGCTGCCATTCTCACCTCCGTTTCCGATGGGTTCTCACCCCATTAACCTGGAACCACGGC